TTATTCTTTGTTTCTTTCTAAACATATCTTAAACACTGATTTTCTACTCAAAAATTACTAGACAAATAGATAACATTTATAACATTTGGTTGTTGCTTATTTGTTTATACCTAGACCACACATTTTTAAGGCACTATTTTCAAAGGTGAAGACTCTGGAACACACCGTGAAAAAAACTCCAAGTCATGAGGGGGGAGGGGCTACTGATACAAACAGTCATGCGTTCTCTTAACAGATGTGTGACACGTCCTCACGCTCTCAGCACTGGCTCAGGCATTGAGAACACAAGAAACATGACAGGCAGTGCAAATAAAGATCTGCTCACACACATGGTAATACCTACAACAAAACAACTCTAATCAGGTGGAGGTTCCAATGCCACAAAACCTCCAACACTTATGAATGTAAGAAGCATTTTCAGGCCTCCTCTGGTGGCACAGGAGGTTGAGCGCAGTGCTTTGAAGCTGTCCACAGCCTCTGCAGTAACGGTTCGATCCTGGCCAGCGGGTGAGGGTCCCACTTGATGTGGCAGATCTCTCCTGTCTCATCCTCTGCTCCCCTCAGCAGTGTATTTCAGTCAGTCTGCCTGTTCTGTTCCCCACTCTGTCTCTGGTGAATCCTCTCACCCTCCCACGCATCTGGCCTGTACCCCAGTTCTTGTATAAAAAATTAAATAAATCTTTAAAAAAAAAAAAAAGAAGAAGCATTTTGGTTCTCTCCTGGTGGCACAGCGGTTGAGCGCTGGGCTGTGAGGCTGCCCACAGTCTCGCAGCGCCAGTTCGATCCCCTGCCACCGGTGAGGGTCCCACCAAAAAAAAAAAAAAAAGAAGAAGAAGAAGCATTTTCACGTTCTTTCCACAAATATTTAGCAAGAAAATTACATGTGCTAAGCATGGCATGGCACAAGATGCAAGAGCTATACAACAAGCCATTCACAATTGGTAGAGAAACACACTGAACCAATGAGTGCCACACTATACAACATGTGCAAGAATGAAGTTCCACAGAGCAGAAATCTTTTTTGATCACTGATGTACATACCACACACCCAGATTGGAGCCTGCCTACAGCATGGCAGACACTTAGTAATATTTGGAAGCAAGCACAGAAAAGGCATACTGAACCAAAGCAGGGGTAAGATGCCATTCTCTAGCTTAAGTCTCAAGACAAACCAGTGTAAAAAAGCAGGTGTTGTAATTATCATTACCTCATTAAGAATCGAAGTTTCAGAAAGTGTAATAGACATGGCCAACATGCTGCAAATTACAAATGCTGGGCCCTGGCCTGTATCACCAAAGGCACAATATTCAAGCTCATAAAAAAAAAGACAAACATAAAGACACCAACAAATCTGCCAAAATTTGTACTTTCCCAAAAGCAAAATCCAGTTTGAAAATATGCAAGAATGTTCAGACAATTCCTAACTGAAACAAAAACATGGAAGATTGGGCACAAATTAAAGTTGGCCTGGACTCCCATATGGAGCTGAGATCCTTAGTTTCTCCTTGTTAGCTGAACATTGAAAGCAGAACTTACTTGAATATTTAATCTACTAATAGAAATAGTAAAATGTGTAAACTGCTGTCCATTAAAATAAAGCTAATAACCATTTAGCAAGCGAGATGGGGCAAGTGCATGCTGTTAAAAATGTGAATATACTAAATAGTGCAACAAAGGCAGAGAAGTGAGAAGTAGCCTTCAGTTGGGGATATAAGAAATTTTCATGGAGGAGAGAGTCTTTGAGCTGAATTTAGAGCATTGATAGGGATTTAAGAAGCAAAAATGGGGATCACATCAGTTGGATGGGTCAGTGGGAGCACATATACAAAAGCAAATAAGTGGTCATGGGACAGGGGATTATTCCAGTTTGGGGACTGACAGTGTGGTACAGAGCAAATGACAAGGGCAGAGAAACAGGGGAGCATGAGCTCCTGGAGAACTGTGGGCACCTTCCTCCTTAATGAGATCAGACTTGATTCTGTTTCCAAGAGACCCAGAGTACTGAGTGACATATGTTTGTTTTTAAACATCATGGAGACAAGGAAGTGAGGAAGTTGCCATAAAGATCCCAGTAAAAGACACTAATGCCTGAATGACAGAAGTAAGAATCAGGGGTATGAGGGAAGAGAGACACAGTAGCAGAAGCTACCTATCTCCGTGACAGATGGAGAATGCATGACAATGACAGAATTAGTGCTGGGGAAAGAATCTTTGATTTTCTTTCATTTAAATACTTGAAAGTTTATATTCATTCCAAAAGAAAAAGCTCATCCTGCCCCTCACCTCCAAAGATGGCTTTCTGGGGGGAACACTGGAAGGAGGGGGTGCCCTTCAGCACGCTTCTTCTTGGTTGGGCCTCCAACAGCTCCAGCTCATGAACCTCTGAGCTAGGGTAGGGCTTCCCATCAAGACAGTATGGGAAGCTGTTCCAGAACATTTGCTGAAATTTCCTGAACACTCAACACTGCCATTCACACAGTTCAGGAATTGTTTATTCAACTTTGGGGTATTAAGCACCCCTTGCCTTATTTGTTCTCTTACACTTGTCATAGCATATTTTTTTATCTATTTATATGTATTTTACTTCATTGTTCATTTTTAAACAATATTTGCTTCCCCCACCCTCTCCCAGGCATAGTCCCTACAGAATTTCCTTCACCAAGGCACCTGTGCACCGTCACAACAGTCCCTTGTGCTCCGACCTCCCTCCCTCTGATCCCTCTCCCTCGTTCTCCCCTGCAGGATCTCTGGTTTATAATTGTCTGTTTGGTTTTTTTGTGTTGGTTGTGTTTTGCATTGTTATTATTTTTTCCCCTGATGTCTTATTTGGTTCCCCTATATTCCTGTTGTAAGTAAAACCATCTGATATTTTTCTTTTTCCTTCTGACTTATTTCACTGAGAATAATTCCTTCTAGTTCCATCCACGTTGCTGTGAATGGCATGAGTTTATCTTTTTTGATTGCTGAATAATATTCCATTGTGTATATATACCACATCTTCTTGACCAGTCATCTATTTTGAGGCATATAATAGGCTTTACCTATTATAAATAGTGCTGCAATAAACATAGGGGTACAGGTATTCCTTTGAATCAATGTTTTTGTGTCCTTTGGGTAGATCCCTAGGAGTGGAATTGCTGGGTCATATGGTAGCTCCATTTTTAGTAGACTGTGGAACCTCCAGACAGCTTTCTATAGTAGGACCAGTTTGCACTCCCACCAGCAATGTAGGAGAGTTCCTTTTTCACCAAATCCTCACCAACATTTGTTGTTGTTAGTTTTTTTTGATATGTGCCATTCTTACTTGTATAAGGTGGTATCTCAATGTGGTTTTGATTTGCATTTCCCTGACTATAAGGGATGTTGAACATTTTTTCATATGCCTGTTGGCCATTTCCATTTCCTTTATGCAGAAGTGTCTTTTAAGTTCTGCCCATACTTGACTATATTGTTTACCTGTTCTTGTTGCATCCTGTGAGTTCTTTCATTATCTTTGTGATCAGTCCCTTATCAGTCGTGTGGAGTGCCAAGACTTTTTCCCAATCAGTGGGCTTTCTCTTTGTTTTGGTTAATGTACAGAAGCTTTTACGTTTGATATCACAGCATATTGTTTCTCAGTAAAATAGGAGCTTTGGGAAACAGTAATTTTAGTCCCTTCCAGTAGAAAAATAATGAAAAATTCTAAGTACATATTACCCTTTCTAAGCAACTTCATCTAAAATATCATGTTTTTATAAAATGAAAACCATCTCAATCAACATGAAAAAATACCTAAGGCATAATTTGCCTATTTTTTCATGTTGCTTAAGTTTTTCAGAATATCCTTCTTTCCTGGCTCTCCTGATAAATTTGGGTATCTCAATAACTCATTTCCCCTAGAATTATGTATGACCCCCTTTTCATAATTAATGGTCCTTTTCCTGACTCAGCGAAAGACTTAGAAAAAAAACCCAAGATTTTTAGATTGTGTGTCTTGACAATTTTCATTACCACATCACCTTTCAAGCAAAATGACTTCTATGGTAAAATGTTTGCTCTCTTTATATGCTTGAATTACATGATAAAGTCAGAGAAACTTAGCAGCTATGTATGACAAGGATATACAAGGCAGTGGCTTCAGTTCAGGACAAGAAAGCTACTCTCAACATCAAAGGTTTTTGTATTGAAGACATAAGGAACAGTATTAAGGAACAGTATTAAGACCGATTACACTTACATGCTGCAACTTTGATAGAAAATATTTTTGCCTAGCGGCCTCCCTAGTGTCACAAGGGGTTAAGCACACCACTATGAAGCTATACGCACCCTCTGCAGCACAAGTTACATCACCAACCAGCCAGGGAGATACCACATGGCACAGCAGACCTCTCCTGTCTTGCCCGCTCCTCCCCTCAGTAGTGTATTTCGGTTAGTCTGTCTGTTCTATTCCCCACTCCATCTCTGGTGAATCCTCTCACCCCCTGCACCTCTGGCCTGTACCTCAATTCTTTTATGCATAAATAAATAAATCTTTAAAAAAAAGAAAATGTTTTTGCCTAATCTCAAAACACTTGAAAGTACATTTACAAAAATTTAGTTGAAAGTTGAGATGTGGGGCCTCCCTGGTGGCGCAGCGGTTGAGCGCTGGGTTGCGAAGCTGCCCACAGCCTCTGCAGCACCGGTTCGACCCCCAGCTGCTCCCCGGCCACCGGAGAAGGGTCCCGCATGGCGCGCAGACCTCTCCTGCCACCTGCTGCTCCCCTCAGCAGTGTAACTTCAGTCCTTCTGCCTGCTCTGCTCCCAGCTCTGATTCTGGTGAATTCTCTCACCCTCCCACGCTTCTGACTGTACCCAGTGCTTGTATCAATCAATCAATAAATAAATCTTTTAAAAAAAATGAAAAAAATGAAAAAAAAAGAAAGTTCAGATCTGGTAAGACAAATTCAATGACAACATCAAAAAGAGAAGTTCCAGAAGACAAAAATTAATACTTTGAAAGTTTGCTTTTTGTGTCTTCACAGAATTCCCCTAAACTCTTTTGCCCTAAAAATAGAAGCTTTGACATAGATGCCATCTACAGCGTGATAGATGATGCCAAGCAGTATGTGTACATCGCCGTCATGGACTACCTGCCTATCTCTAGCACAAGCACCAAAAGGTCAGTGAATTCTCAGCCTCCACATGAGTCCAGTCACCAGGGGTGGGTACTAAGGTGAGGGCCACAGGAGAAACCAGCCTAGACAGTCAGATGTTTTCAGGTCGAATTAGGTTGTACCATTCAGATCCTCAGTGTGTCCATTTTAAGAACTCAGGGTCTCACCTTACAGAAGTATCTCAGTAGTTTACATTGCAGACATAAAAATAAATTTAAAATGAATGTTGTATTCCTTTAAACTTGAAAATCATTTGCAAATTTCAATTAAAAATTATTTGGGCATGCCAGACCTCTCCTGTCTCACCTACTGCTCCCTCGGCAGTGTATTTCAGTCAGTTTGCCTGTTCTGTTCCCTGCTCTGTCTCTGGTGAATCCTCTCACCCTCCCGCACATCTGGCCTGCACCCTGGTTCTTGTATGCATAAATAAACAAATCTTTAAAAAAATATATTTGAAAAGATACTATTTGGGAGTCGAACTCGCTCATGTCCTCTGAAGATCATGGTGAGATTAAGTAGCACTGCCAAGATTTTCCTTAAGGGGGACAACACTTTGTTATATTCATATCCATCTTCATTAAATGCTAAACTTTATAATATCTTTTCAACTTAAGAGAGAAAGTAACTTAAAATGTGTGTTCTCAGAAAATCCATCTGCTTCTGTGAGGAAGAGAGCCTTTTAAAATTGGAGAGTTTTTTTAATAACCCATCATTGCTTAAGTCTGAAAGTACTTGGAATAAATCTGGAGGCAGATAGTGATGGATAACGGAATAAAGAAATTGTGATATGTATACTCAAGGTATACTAGTTAGTATTAACAAAGATGAAATCTTGTCTTTTATGACAATATAGATGGAACCTGAGGTGATTGCGGTAAGTGAAACAAGTCAGAAAGTGAAAGATAATTACTGAACTGTTGCACTCATTTGTGGAATAGATAACTAAAGAAAACAAACTGGCAAAAAAAACCCCTACTAGATTCTGTGAAAAATATGATGGTTACCAGATGGGGAAGGGGTGCGCTGAGAACGTAAGTGAGGAGAGTAGCAGCCCTGCAGCTTTGTTTGTGGGTGAGTGACAAGTATACATGATGCCTTGTGATGATGTACTCCCAAAACTATAGAATTTTGTAAAGAATGGTAAGTGAAAACAATAAAATTTGAGTTATTTAGGCAGAATTCTGACAAACTCTTTGGAAAGTCATAAATGCCACACTCCGGTTACTTCCCAATTTTGCCTTCTTGCAGAAAATGCAGAGATTTGAGCCTTTGTAATAGTTATGAATAATCCATTTTAACCCAGGAAACATTTTCAAAATTCTTATTTCTGGGATCACAAGCTAAGGTCTTTATAATATGGAAAATTACAATTTGAAAATAGCCATTTACTGAGATTAAATGATTAAGTGTATCCTCTATTGCTTGAAATATTTCATACTGCCAACCTCAAATATGCATAACATGCAACTTCTTTATACAAATGATTATAGGCCTGCAAGAGTCGTATTTCTTCCAGAATGTAATTGTTCCTAATGACAATCAAAAAGCATTTTAAGCTGGCATATTTACATTATTAAAATATTTTTACTTTGAAATGTTGTGTGTTGTTTGAATACCTGTTTCATATCTTCTTTATTTTTTTTCCATACAATTTCATATCTTCTTTATTTCTCCCTTTTTCTTATTTCTCCCATTTATTGTTTGTTTGGTTCTAGATTTAACTTTGGAATTTGATATACTTTAGGAAAATTTTGAAACATACAGACTGGAAGAAATTTAGAGAATTTATAGGATCTGTGAAATTTAGAGAATCTATATGTATAGAGAATCTATAATATCTTAGAAATATAAACATTAGAGAAAACTAAAATAGTGTTAAAGAACCAGAATCAGACCTGAAATTTTACATTTGGCTATTAATCTACCTTTTGAACTATTATTCAAAGAAGAGTTCTCATATTATACTTTTTTAATTAAAAGATCTATTTTTTTATGCATAAGAACTGAGGTATAGGCCAGAGGTGTGGGAGGGGAGTGAGAGGATTCACCAGAGACAGAGTGGGGAACACAACAGGCAGGTGTTCTGAAATACACTGCTGAGGGGAGCAGCAGGCAAGCCAGGAGAGGCAAGCCAGGAGAGGTGTACCATATAGGCAGCTCGCTGGCCGGGGATCGAACTTGTGCTGCAGTGGCTGCGGACAGCTTCATAGGTTGTATCTTAACCCCTTGTGCCACCAGGGAGGTCCATGTATTATACTTTTAATATTTCAAATCTGTAAGTGTCTTTAGAATTATAAATGAAAAGTTATCAGAGACATAAAAAGTTGCTGAAACATTTGGGTTATAATTTAAATCTTCTCAATCATTTGAATGTATTTTTTAAAGTCAAACTCTTTTCTTTACATCATCTTAGGGAAATTTTTCAGGAGTGAACTAAACATGAATATCAAATATAAATGTGACTTAACTTTTAGTCTGTACTCTGCCAAATATTGAAATGAAAGAGAAAAATTCACAGGCTTCCAAATTAGAAATGATTGATAGCATGTTTGCACACTCACAAACACACACACACGCACACATCCTTCTGCAACAGTGTGCACACGTAACTTCTACTTTTCAAAGAAATAAGAAATGAATGGAACATGGTATTAGTCAAATAAATGCTGCATAAAGAAAATCAGGAATTCTATTTCATTTCTTCCTGATTTATCAATCAAGTTCTATTTCCTTAAGCAATTTGCTTATTTATTTAGGTCTCAGTTTAGAGTTGCTCATTATATATTTCCTCATACTTATTTCTGAAGGAAGTCAGTAAATGTATGAAGGACTAATAAAAATGGAGCCCCGTTGGTCTATTGGCTATAGATATTTAATATTAATTCAAAAAAGTATTTGACACTCTGCAAGAGTGATAAAGCATGAACAGCATTATGCCAGGAGCTTTATCCAATAAGAATGCAGAATAAGTTATCATTACACAATGAAGTGAATGGAACAATAATTATATGTATAGAATGTGATAAATATTCAATAAAAGGGCACCAATGACAGTTTTAAGTTAAAGAAAGCTTGTTGGAGGAAATGCTACCTGAATTGCATTTTAAAATACGCAGGAATTAGTCAGAAAGGTAAGAAAGGGGAGTTTCCAAGAAGGAACAACATGGCACAGTTTCAGAGGAGAAAAATAACATGGCATGTGTCAGAATCTGTCACAAGTTCAGGGCTGGAACTTCAGCCAAGGTAAATGGTTGGAGGTCAAATTGGGGAGAAAGCAAAGACCCACAACAGGAGGACCTGACTGCTGTGAGACTTGTGACCCTCAGGAGCCCCTGCTGCTTTGAACCAAAGGAGTTATGCTTTAGGCAGAATCTATGCTGGTTGCAGAGGATGTACTTGACAAGACCGGAGACAAAAAAAAAAAAAAACACTTTGTAGCCGCTGTTGTGGCCTAGGTCAAGAATGAGAACCACGACTAGGGCAGTCTTAGGAAGCATAGAATGAAGGGAGGATATTCCAGGAATATTATGAAGGGTGTGGGGACTGTAAAAGGGAGAACAGACAGAAGAATGCTTCCCAGGTTTTTCCTGTAGAAAATGAGAGCTCTACAAAGTAATCAAGGCTATACAAAGTGTAGGGATTATATGTTAATTGTATTTCAATTTAAAAAAAAAAAGAATAGAGAAATAAGCAAGTTCATGAATTTGAAGTTCTTATAATGATATACATCTTCAGATCTATAAAGATCTTATAAAGACATATAAAATGCAATCTGCAGAAGAGTACTGTGGGGATGTAAATTTGGAGCTCTTTGGACTACAGAAGACAGCTAAAACAAGTATATAGCTATATGCAAGCCTCTGAGGAGATAGCACCTTAAAGTGAGAACAAGGGGGTCTCCCTGGTGCCTCAAGGGGTTAGGCAAAGCACTGTGAAGCTATCCTCAGCCTCTGCAGCACGGTTCAATCCCTGGCCAGGGAGTTACACACATGGTGCAGCAGAACTTTCCTGTCTTGACTGCTGCTCCCCTCAGCAGTGCATTTCAGTCAGTCTCCCTGTTCTGTTCCCCACTCCATCTCTGATGAATCCTCTCACCCCCCACACCTCTGGCCTGTATCCCAGTTCTTGTATGCATAAATAAATAAATCTTTTTTTAAAAAGTGAGAACAAGGGAAGATGATGGAATCTTAGGTGAGTACTGATATTTAGAGGGTAGACTATAGAACAGAGAAAGTTGCAAACAAAGACCATAGAGGCTATGGAATCAATTTTCAAGAAGTAAGTTTTATTTTTTTTTCTTTTTTTTAATTTTTAAAAAATTTTTTAAACAATATTTGCGTCCCCCCACCCCCTCTACCCAAAGGACACAAAAACATTGATTCAGAAGAACACCAGTACACCTATTTTTATTGCAGCACTATTTACAATAGGTAAAACCTGGAAACAACCCAAATGCCCAAAAATAGATGACTGGTACATGAAGATGTGGTATATATACACAATAGAATTCAGCAATCAAAAAGGATAAACTCATGCCATTCACAGCAACATGGATGGAGCTAGAAGGAATTATGCTCAGTGAAATAAGCCAGAAGGAAAAATAAAAATATCGGACGGTTTCACTTATTGCAGGAATATAGGGGAACCAAATAAGACATCAGTGTAAAAAAAATAATAACAATACAAAACACAGCAAAGCAAAAACGGACAATGATAAACCAGAGACATCCTGCAGGGGAGGAGGAGGGAGAGGGGTGAGAGGAGGGAGGAGCACAGGGGACTGCGGTGATGGTGCACAGGTGCCTTGGGGAAGGAAATTCTATGGAGACTCAAGAAGCAAGTTTTAAAAGAAAGCCTACAGATGGCCAACGTGGACATGAAAAAAATAAAAGCACATCACTACTTATCTTCAGGGGACTGAAAATCAAAATACAATGATATAACCAACTCACACCTTTGAAAACAGCCATGTCAAAAAGACCAGAAACTACAAGGATGCTGGTGAAGATGTGGGAAAAAGGAACCACCCTGCACTGTTGATGGGAATGTAGGTTTGTTCAGCCCTTATGGAAAACAATATGTAGAATTCTCAAACTATTAAAAATAGATCCAGCACATGATTCAGCAATTCCATTCCTAGATACCTACCTAAGGCATGCAAACACTGATTTGGAAGAATATGTGCACTTCCACATTCACTGTAGTACTATTTACAATAGTCAAGCTATGGAAACCACCTAAGTGCCCAAAGACAGATGGGTGGATTAGGAAGATGTGGTATATAAACACAATGGAATACAACTCAGATAGATAGATAGATAGATAGATAGATAGATAGATAGATAGATAGATATAAAGGTAAACTTTGTATATATATAAAGGTATATATATAAAAAGATATAGGGTATATATATAAAGATAAAGGTATATATATATAAAGGTGTATATATATAAATGTAAACTTTATATATCTATAAAGGTGTGTGTGTGTATGTGTCTGTATATATATATAGATATATACATATATAAAGGTAAACTCTTGCCATTTGCTAATATGGATAGAGCTGGGATTATGCTAAGTGAAATAAAAAGGAGAAAGATGTTTTCACTTATTCGTAGAATATAGAGAAATAAAAAAGGGGGGTTAGATAAAACAAAATCATACCCTAGAAATTTAACTAAGCTACCAGACAGGATGGGGAGGGTGGAGAGCAAAGTGGGGAGGGTTACAATGGGCTGTAGTGAAGGACTTTCAGTGCCTTGGTGGGGGGCGTGATCCTATACCTTGAAATCATGCAGTGTTGTAAACTAATGCTACCTCAATTAAAAAAAAATAGGGTACAGGTATCCTTTCGAATTAGTTTTTGTGTCCTTAGGGGTCAATCCCTAGGAGATGACTGGATCAAAAAAGTGTGGTATATACACACAATGGAATAGTGTTCAGCAATCAAAAAAGATAAACTCATGCCATTTGCAGCAACATGGACAGAGCTAAAAGGGATTATGCTCAGTGAAATAATTTAGATGGAAAAAGAAAAATATCGGATGGTTTCACTTATAGGAGAAATACCAAATAAGGGATCAGCAAAAAAATAATAACAAGAAAAAACACAAGAAAACAAAATTAAATAGACAACTATAAACCAGAGGCATTCTGCAGGAGGGGGGAAGGAGAGGGATTAAAACAAGGATGGGAAGAACACAAGGGCCTATGGCGATGGTGCACCAGTGAATTGGTGGTGCAAATTTTATGGGGATTACATCTGAGATAAGAAAGCAAACATTGTAAAAAAAAAAAAAATGAACAATGATGTAAAATATGTATAAATAAATAAATTATAAAATTAAAATAAGAAGCAAGGAACTATCAGCAGAGACACAGGTAGAACTGAATAATGTCATTAGATTTGGCAATTTGTATATCGCTGATGACTTTGAAAAGATTTGCAAAAGAACAGGAGGCTGGAGGTCAGAGGCAGTAGTCTGAGGAGTGAACACAAGGTGAGGAAATAAAGTCAGAGGCTCTAGATCGCACTGTCAAGAAGTTTTGTTCAAAGGATGAGAGGTTTTGCACCAGCAACAGGGCAATGTGGAGTTAAGGGAGGGATCTCTGAATGGAGAGATTTATAGTTGTTGTTTTTTTTTTTTTTTCTCAAATTAAAAGAAGACCAGAGAGGGAGAAGTTAAAGATATTTTGAGGAAGTAATGACTAGCAAATTCAGTGCAGCTGGTCAAGTGATCAGCTTGCAGTGAAGAGGCAGGTTTGGGTCTGATAGAGAGGAAGTTGCCTTATCCTCTGAGCATGAAGGAAAGGCAGAAGGATGCATCTGGCCTCAATTTTGTGAATAAAGGAAGAAGTAAGTTTCTCTGGAGTGGACAAAGTTTGGAATAATTACAGACAGTGGAAATGATTCAAAAGAAGCCCAGGATTGGTGGACGATGTTGAGAGTCAGCATGAATCTTATTTGTTCCACCTGCACAAGACTGAGGTGGTTTTTTCCAGTAGTCCTCAGCTTTGTGATTGTAGAAATAGACAGAGGAAATTATAATCTAGTGTGTAGATTTTGCCAAAAGCAAGAGGAAAGGAAAAGGAGAAAAGTCCTGTTTTGAGGACTTGATCCTCAAATCAAGTCCTGATCAGAATTGAGATTAGGCTGGTCAGAGAAAGGAAGCCAGGAGGACCTGGCAGAGCAGGAAAAGGTGCAAGGATCATGGATCTTGGCTTGAATGTGTCAAGGAGCAGCTTAGCACAAATAAGAGAGTGGGGAAACATGAAGGACTGGAGACTGGGTCAGATATAAAGAAAGACCTTGCAGAGGCCACGATTATGAAACTGATATGTTAGGAAATTGAATAATATGTCATTAGTGTGAATAGTGAATCATCCCAGAGTCAGGGAAAGTTTTAAATAAGTAAACAGGTCTACAAATGACAGACCAGGGAGAGAGAGTGATTTAAAGCTTGTCCTTAATGATTGACAAGTATTTGTTTGTTTTTTAACACAAGAAGTGACATTTTTAGAAGTAACATTTTGTATATTGGGGGATGGGAGTTTGACCCCACATCCTAAACCAAATGGGCAGACTCTTGCTGAAAATATACATAAAGACTTTAGAGAAGCTGTGACCTTAGGAAAGACTCAGGGTTAGTGAAGACAGAAGATTAAAGACACAACAAGCAAGAGGTTGAACCTATAGGGGAAACTGTCTAGAGTGGTAGGAGGCTTGGTGGGGAGAGAGAAATCTAAGAACCATCTGGAAATAAGAGTGTAAGAAAGCTCAGAAATCCAGAGAAGAAACACATTTTGGGGGCATTTATCAAAGAAGAGAAATTTGAGTGGCATATGGAAAGAGAGGGCGTGTCCAAGCCTCCTAACTGGAATTTGTTAGAAAGTTTGTTCTTAGCACACAAAAGTTCTGAGGCCCAGTTTGGGCTAAAGTGCAACAAGTAGTTGTCAGTCTATCTCTGCTCTTGACCCACAAATCCTGGTGGTAGAGACTTCATTTTAGGCTGGGACCTATCTCAGCAAAGCATTTTCTCTTATTGCCCTAACTTAAAGAGGCTTGCATTTTTCAACATATCCTACAAGATTATTGATGTATTACAGGGCAAAGTAATGATCAGATTAATGTGTTCTGTATAGTTCAGTGAGTTTCTTTTCCAAAACTAACTTATTTTCTTTATTTTTTATTTATATGGATCTTATTTCTATAGGACATATTGGCCAGACTTGGATGGGAAAATAAGAGAAGCATTAGTTTTGCGAAGTGTTAAAGTTCGACTTCTCATAAGCTTCTGGAAGGAAACTGACCCCCTTACATTTAACTTTATTTCATCTCTTAAAGCTATTTGCACTGAAATAGTCAACTGCAGTTTGAAAGTTGTAAGTATTATATTGACTGTGTTATTAAAGAGTTTATTCTTTTCACACAATTATGAATGCTGTAAGCATCACATATATGTTTTCAGTAAGAACCAGGATAACAATCTTTAATAATGAGAAATTTTAAAAAAAGAAGCAATTTTCCAAAACAATGTAAAAAAAAGGATGAGAACCCAAGGGTTCTGGTGCCTCCCCACTCATCCCTCTTTACACACACTCTGTTGTATCTTCTCTGCTTGGTTTGAACTGCTCCTCACCAATCATTCTTATTTATAGTGTGACCTGAATAGACTCCACCAGGCCTGACATCCCCTAACTTGGGCTCCTGTACTTGCTTCAGTTCCTGCGGGCCACATGTTAATCTGTCTCTGCACACCTTGAGGGAGGCAAGATTAGGAATCACTAGTATTTTAAATGTACTAATCTCTAGCTCATCTTTGACTTTCTTTGGTGCTCCTATCTATCACCCTCTTCCTCTCCTCCTGGCCTCTGTACATGTTATTTCTACTACCTACCATCCCCTTCTCCATGCTTTACCTGGCTATTTATTGCCCACTAATCTTTTAGGTCTCAACTTTGCCCAACTTCCACTGAAGTCACTCAAAAAATGCACACTGAGACTGTGCTCTGTGCCGGCCCTCTTCTAGGAGATGGGTCTGTGCACCACACAGCATTTAGGGATCCGGGTTGACAGGGATTCCACCCTTGACTTTGGCACATGGTTTCCAGTATTGCCCTGAGCCTCCATATCCCAATATCAAACAGGGGAAGAGAGAAATAGGAGCAAACACTTATGGATTAAGTGGTGTACTTGCTTTAACCTTCATCCCACTGCCCAGAAATTACTCACCTGGATATTTTTAATGGCAAAGGAGGTTTATGAGTTTGGTCCAAATGGCAGCAGTGTTTCCAAGGTGATGAAGGAACAAGCTTGTGAACCAGCACATTCCGAAATTCTGGGCACCCTCTATCCCTTTTACTCTCTTCCCACATAGAGACCACTCAACCCCCCACCAGTCAGTCGCTGCACAGCTGAAAGTGTGGACACCCCAGTGATGTAAAGTCTGGATATAGCATCTCACAATTCAATGACATCGAAATTAAAACCAACAACAACTCCCAATAAAGCCAAAGTGAAAATTAAACTTACCTCCCTCCCCACTCAACAAGGGCAGGGTAAGGTCAGTAAAAACTCCATACAGAAAAGGAGATCCACAGTGGTCACAGCAATAGTAATATTCTTCTAGGTATGTGTTACAAAGTTCTCATTCTCCTGCTTGTTCAAACCAAGGACCAACTGTTGTTTTCAGGCATGGAAAGTTCAAGGAGTTTTAGGTCCTAGCTCTTTAGAAGGGCAATATTCTCAGAAATGGACTTCTGATTTATTTGCTTTTAGTCACTTTTATGTACCAGTAGTCAGAGCCAGTGTGTAATTCTGGTGCTTGATTAATTATGCTTCCTTGTCTATATACTCTTTTTTTTAATTTTTTTTAATTTTTTAATTTTATTTTATATATTTTTTACATAATTTTTCATTTTTGCACAATGTATGCATTTTCATCTTGGTTATAGTCCCCATACAATTCCCACCCTCCCTTTGTTTTGTTCCTACTCCCTCCTCCACACACACACCCCCCACCCCGTAGTAGTGTGTCTCTGGTTTATAGTTGATAGTTGCTTGTTGATTTTGATTTTTACTTTATTATAATTAGTCTTTTTCCTGTATACTTCTGCCTCTCTCTCTCCACTCTGCACCCTCTTTTCTCCTCCCTTTTCAGCACTTGCTTCATTCAGGCCATCAAAATTGGGTGAGAAGACCACACCAATTATAATTGCACCAGTTATCTGATCTGTGGCAGGACTGAGTCTTAACTGGCTTCACTCACTTAATGAAGTTTTCAAACTGGTTTTCTACTACTGAACTCTATGATTATCAACTTTTCCAATTATTTGAAATACCAGATTTCTGGTCTATTTTCTTATAACTGCCTGCAAAGCAGCAAATCCTGACTTTCTAAAGTACTAATAATAACCAACACATGCTACAAACATACTGATTTCCAGTCCCTGCCCTACAACCAAAGATTCAGGTATCTTCCTATGAGCTCAGTCTTAATTTAAGCCTTATCTAAGCATTTACCAATTTCAATAGAATCCTGAGGCACAAGTTTGGCAACTTCTGGTGCCAGCCCCTCTCTTTTAGTTCCATCTACCCTGACCTTAGTTGAAACTGGAACCATACTTTTCAGGTCACATCAAAATTGAAATTCAGGGGCCTCCCCGGGTGGCGCAGCGGTTGAGCGCTGGGTTGCAAAGCTGCCCACGGCCTCTGCAGCGCCGGTTCGATCCCCGGCTTCTCCCCGGCCACCGGAGGAGGGTCCCCACATGGCCACCGGAGGAGGGTCCCACATGGCCACCGGAGGAGGGTCCCACATGGCGCGAGGACCTCTCCTGCCGCCCGCTGCTCCCCTCAGCAGTGTGCTTCGGTCCTTCTGCCTGCTCTGCTCCCCGCTCTGGCTCTGGTGAATTCTCTCACCCTCCCGCGCTTCTGACTGTACCCAGTGCTTGTATAAACAAAACAAACAAACAAACAAATAAATAAATAATACATGCCTCTTTAAAAAAATAAATTGAAATTCAGGATTCATGGTTTGAAGTTGTATTATATTATCTGAGTTGCCTAGGTATTTAGATGGAAAGTATTTGTTCCTTTACAAAATCTCTTTACCTTTGCAAATACCCAATTTAATAATATGCTAGTCGTTGACAAGGATCTGCTATTTCTTATAATTTATGCAACATGTAGAAACATTTATTCAGTTCATTGGCATGCTTTACAGAAAACCCAAGGCTTACTTCACATGCCAATGCACACTGATGAAAAATACAATGAAAATTAAACAATTAAACAATCTTCTGGCTCTCACCCTAATGAAAGAATGACATTTGTGTTCATGTTGTAGCTTAAAATTGTTGATTACAGGCCTGATTGTTAATTTTCTTTCTTATCACTTCCATAGATATAAGAACAAAAATAGCTTCATCTATATGAAGTAACAAGATGTGGTTTTAATAATCCATTATCAGCCCTATTATTGATATTTGGATGATAAACATTTTTTGCTCCTCAAGAGTCTACAATTTTCTCTATTCACCTGTTTTATTACTTTTTTTTAATCTTACAGAAATTTTTCGATCTGGAAAGAGAAAATGCTTGTGCCACAAAAGAACAAAAGAATAACACCTTTCCTAAATTAAATCGCAACAAGTACATGGTGACAGATGGTGCAGCTTATATCGGTAGGTTTCAGGGCTGTAAGATTTCTTAGGGGGTTATGTAGATTGTTATTGGTATTGGTCTTACATACTTACATCCTGGACAATAATCCCATCCTGACATATTTTTCAAATGACTAATTTTGGAAAATTTCCTTTAATTCTCTAAATCTGCTTGGTCATCTGTAGTATGGAGTTAATAATAGTTTCCACTTCACGGGTGAAGTTGAAATGGGAAAATATGCAAAGCTCCTTACACAATGAGATAGATGGCACATAGATAATACCTGATTCCTGTTACCTATTATTATTAAGATTATAATGCTCCAGATGCATAAAACTTATATGCTGGTATAATTATTTGCTAATCTATCAAATCTATTCTACTTTTCCACAATGTATAAGTTTAGGAAGACCCCTTATTTTGTACTCTGACAGGGTGGAAATTGTAATATGTGAAACAAAGGTGCATAAATCCCAAACAGCAGCATGGTTATTGCATTGTACAGACAGTGGCATTCTCAAAATAAAAACAAAAACAAGTGTGTCATGAAAAAATATGGACTCTGTATTTCTTTCCAAATTCAATGAATTCAGTAAGTGAGCAAAAAAAAAAAACAAACAAAACAAACAATGTCTTTTTAACTCTCCTAACATTATCAATGGGGTTGATGAAGTTTATTACCTGAAATTTAGAAATTAAGAAATTTGGGCCATCAGAGATATAGTGACTGAAATACGTAAATGTAAAGGAGGAAGAAGCTAAGTATAGGATCCAGAGTGCCCTGACCCCTCACCCACTGCATCCTTCAGGAGACATAGCCACCAGCCACTGCAGAGGCACTGACTCTGGCTCAATGTGAAGATACTCTGGTTGTTGTTATTTTTTTTTTCATTTTGAATAATTGTGTCACATTAATAGAATAGATTTGTTGTCCTAGAATATGATAATATTGTTTTATTGATACCTAATACCATCTCTCTTTGTGACCCAAGATATGATTATTTGGATTTTCTCCTATTCATCAACTTATAGAGAATAGAACAAAATCAGTTTCTTTTAAAGCAAGTGACAAAAATAAAGTCAAAAATTGTTTATTATTGGGAAATACAGTCCTGGATCGGTGGAATTTAAGGACTCAAATCTGAATGTTTTACCTGTGGGGTTTACTGTAATTCACAGGTGGTATGTACACTCAGGGGTAACTTGTATCTGTCAAATTGTCACTTATTGATTGTCTTGGACTCAGACAAACCTACATTTGAACTAAAACACTAACAATTGACAAGTTGAAAGGTGGTGGAAAGTTACAAAATGTCTCTGAGCATTTGACTTTTTTCCCTTATTTGTAAAATGGAGTTCATCATATCCACACTTTGCTTGTATTGTGCAAATTAAATGAGACAATATGTAAAAAGCTCCTAACACTGGCTCTCTGATCTATCTAGACACTTAATAAACATTGATTTCTAGCTCTCTCCTTTCTTCTTCTAGTATACTAGAAAGATTACATCATAACTTTTCCTTATAGATATCTGACATAACCAAAATAAACCAGTCTTTTTCATTCTAGATAAAGAAAATTTTACTTTTTGTTTTATTTATTCCCAATTAATGTGGATAACACATTGATATATTCCCCGAACAAAGGCCAAATAAGTGTCATCTGTGGCACAGATCTTCAAAGGGTGAGCCAAAGGGTTTGCAGCATTTTCCCACAGAAACACAGGACCTAGGAGGAATTAGGTGACATCTTTGGAGGGAACAAACCTGGGTCGAGTATGACTCCCTTATACTGGACAGGACCTGGTTTTATGCAATTCCAGCAATCTGAAGTAAGAGCTGCCTTAGAGCGGTTGAGAGCCATGTGTGCAGCACAGATTATGTCTAATAGCTGGGACAAAGGCTTTTATGGGGAGCGACCAGAAGAAGCCCAGGGTGGAGGGAGACCAGAGAGCTCCCTTGTCGCCCTTTTGTCAGGCTGCGTACAAACACTGCTTAATTGCAGTCACTCAGGGTGTGGGAGATAAGTCCTCACATACAGAAGGGAGGGTGAGGAGCAGGTGTCGGAGGATACTGATGAGCAACCTCATTTTACCAAACACTTGAAAACAATTATGACCACACACAGTATCAGGTAACTTAAGGCAAGAAGGTGTGCCATCTTCCCCAGTGTGATCGGAGCAAGGCTGATGTCTGATGCTGGCCTGGTGGGCTGATCCTTTTGTAGCCTCAAGTGGAGGGGATTCTCTGGATCAGGGGCTGCTGTCCATCCACTGGCTGAAGTGTCCTTTTTTTGGTTTGCAGGACAGTTTCACTCCAGAGTGATGCACCCAAGGGGGTGGAAACTGAGATCTTTAAAGCTGTAGGGGTCATTAAAATAACAGTAGAGGAGCCAACCATGTGGGTTTGGGAGGCCTTTTAGTCTGTTTCCCAGACCATGTCACCTGGCTGGCACGGATATACCAGGGGACTCTGAGTAGGGGTTGCTACTCTAAGGTGTACTCCCTGAAACTCATTAAGTGTGATATCTATAGTCTGGGGCACTCTGTCTCGGTTTTTCTTCTTTTACACAAGCTTGGTTAAAATGTTCTTAATGGTGGGCCTCCCCTGGTGGCACAGCGGTTGAGCGCTGGGCTGCGAGGCTGCCCGCAGCCTCTGCAGTGCCGGTTCATTCCCCAGCCGCGGACAAGGGACACACACACACACACACACACATACACTTCTTAATGGTGTGGCTTATCTAATTTTCCCTGAACTTTGTGGCAGGAGAGTCTGAATTTTGGAATGATCTAGTGTCCTTGTCCCTACTGGTCTTTTAATCTGGGTGAAGCAGGCTTTTAACTCTTTCAGCACTAGAAGAAGCCCATAACTTTGCATGGCTGGATGCCAATATAGGTCTGTCTTTGATATTTTAATACAAGCTGATTTTTCATCAGGCAGCCTTTACCATCCCCCCCCCCCGCCTGGAATTTGATGAAGAAACCAGTGAGGAGTCCTTTTTGGCACCCTTATCTCCTTATCCTCCTGTAGTGTAGATGCAGCTGAGCATTACTGTTAATCTTAATCTTTAAATTTTTATGACTGGGCCTCCCTGGTGGTGCGGCAGTTGAGCGCTGGGTTGCAAAACTGCCTGCAGCCTCTGCAGCGCTGGTTCGATCCCGACCGCCAGGCGAGGGTCCCACATGGCTCACCGACCTATCCTGCCGCCCGCTGCTCCCCTCAGAGTGTACTTTGTCGGTCTGCCTGTTCTGCTCCCTGCTTTGGCTCCGGTGAATTCTCTCACCCTCCCACGCTTCTGACTGTACCCAGTACTTGTATAAATAAATTAAAAAACTTTAAATGAATTTTTATGACCTCACTTGTAACTGTTAGCATTTTTCAGAAACCAACAAGGAAAACATAGAACTCTTTTCACCACTGGGCACTGTAACAGTGGATGAACTTGTCATGGATTAGCAAGCCAAATGTAGAAACAAAGAAGTGTTATTTGTACAGGAAGGAGAGAGGTGTTTTTACCAAAATTGATACTTTACCAAAGTACCGGTCCTTTTATGAAGAGCTAGGCATTCTTGGATGCCTCTCTTGAGGTTTCCAATGGAAGCAGGTACTGGCGCTATCTCTGGGAATGGCTTAGGAATTAAATCCACAATAACAGGAGCTGAGTTAGGGCCAGGCCTGGGAGTTGCTTTTGGTTCACACATGAGGAAGTTTGTTAAAGAATCAAACTAGCCTGGTGTTAAGACTCCTGTGTCTTGCAGTTTTTTCCTTGGGGTCAATATCAGAAGTCCCCTTTGCATGACATCCTGCTGGGGATCCAGATTAAGTTAGAGGGAAGCTTTTTTATATATCTTAAAAGCAGTCTAAACTGTAAATCTGTGTCTGACCGTATACCCTTTTATTTTACATTTTTCTGCATGGCCTTTGAATGGCCTCAGGATCTACTATGAAAGTTATATGTTGGTCCCAGCAATGACATTGTCAGTGGGCTCACGGGGGGGTCAAAATAAATGGAGCCCGGTCCTGTCAGTCTGAAGCATTAACCATTTCAAGGAAACTGCCCTTACCTGGCCTTTGCTGATGCCAGGCAGATCCATGCAACTGGCTAGGGGGCTTCTTACATCTGGGGCAGTCGCGCTTCCAGTGCCCCGTTTTTCTACAATATGCACACTGATCTTTAGCTAGTGGCTGCCTGGGCGATTTTGCAGTATGGGCCAGGACTCTTGCCCCCACCCCCTCCCTTGCCCCAGTGCCTGGTGGAACACTCTGACCTTGCATTGCAGCTATCAGGAAACTGATCTTCCTTTTTAAACATTTTTCTGCCTTCTTCTTCACTGCCATCTTTCTATTTATTAACACTTTATCAGTCACTTTAATTAACTGGGTGTAGGGGGCAGGACTGGACATGGTGCAGGTTTTCTATGATCCCATGCAGACCTGGTAAAGAAGTCAGAGTCCTCAGTGGCTTTTTGCAGGCTTTTATTGGGGCTTACCAGGTACACAGCAGGCAGGTGTACTGGGGGGCCGGGAGGCTGGCAGTCCTCCCAGCCCCCAGCAAGTCTTCACTCTATCTGGGCTCTCCGGGGTTCTCTCTCTCTCTTGGCTTCTGCTGCTGCTTTCTCGGCTTCTCTTTTGGCTTCTGCTGGCATCCCTGTGACGCCGCCCTTAAAAGCCCAGTCTCAGCCCAGGTGAATCCCATCTACCTAGGCCCACACCCTTCTCCAGGTGCCCGCCATCAGGCATGCATTCAGGACCACAGGGTTCTGTCATCTATCCTGATGGCAGGAGGGCAGAAAAGCCTGACATTTTACCTTACCCTACAGTCCACCCCCTCAGGGTTTTCTGCCATATAGTCTTTATATATACAATTTTCTTAGCAAACAAACAATGCAGCCATGGCCCACTGTAAAAGCAGGAATGGACACGGTGCTGGTTTTCTAGGATCCCATGCAGAATGGGTAAAGGAGGAGTCAGAGTCCTCAGTGGTTTTTGCAGGTCTTTTATTGGGGTTCACCAGGCACAC